TGTTATAGAAATGGCAAGTAGATATGATGCCAGGAATTAAGGAGAAAATGGAGGCAGGAGGTAAATAGGTATGACTATCATGAGAGATCCTGGACGGTAGTGTTAGATTCCTTGACTGAATCAATGTCAAAATCATGGTTGTGAGATTGTGCCATACTTTTGCATGATGTTGCTATTGGACCTGGATAAAGGGTATGTGGGGTTTTTGTATTCTTAAAATTGCATGTAAGTCTACAATTATCTCAAAAAGCTTCATTAATATATTCTGGTTTGGAATAGTGGTGCATGCCTGTAATTCTAGCACTTAGGCTGAAGTGCGAGGATTGTAGCTTGATTGTAGTGTGGGCTACATAGCGAGACCCTCTCAATAAAACAAGGGATGAGAGTGTAGCTCAGTGGTAAAGGGCTTGCCTAGCATATGCAGGCCCCTGGGTTTGAACCCTAGTATTGTAGATAGAGCTCTCTTTCTATATATATGCATAAATAAATATATCAAACCAATCAGCTTTTTCCATTTTTAAAATAAAAGAACCACCTTTTTAGCTCTCCCTTAATTGATTTTTTTTTCCTCTAGATGAAAGAGAACTGATTAGAAATCTCCCTCATGCCATTTTTCTCCAACTAGAAGAGTACAGGTTGTATGTCAACATACAACAAAGCATAAATGTTTCATAGCTATTGAAATGGTTTTGCTAACTTGAATTTTAAAATATTATGTATATATTTTTTTAAATAAACTTATCTTGTAGTTTGGGGGAATCTCACATGCTTTATTTTGTGGTGCTGGGGATCAAACTCAGGGCCTCTCACATGCTAGGCAGGCGTTCTATCACTGAGTTACACCACCAGCCCTATGTCTGTCTCTTAAAGGATGAGTTAAAAAGCTTGGTGTATAATGCTTGCTTCAGTTTGTTAAAGGCAATAAAGCCATCATCGAGACATTTTATGGCCTAGGGTTTAGCGTAATGTACTGCATGTTAAGTAAATTGGTGAAACATTAAGTGGTAAGTGAATTGCTATTAGGATATGTAGGTTAAGTGTGTTTGTTGATGCTTTTAGTGATTTGCCAGCCACATGAATGTATGACAAACATTAGGTTAAGAACTTTGAAATAATCTCAACACATAGGTATTAATCATCTGATTTGGTAAAGTATGAATGTTCTGGTTTCATAATATATGTTTTGATCATCATGTTACATCATTTTCATCTTCTTGGAGTACTTGTTTATTTGCAGCTTTCAAATTTAGCTAGGTAATTCTATACAGAAGGGGCAGTGTAATATTGTGGCTAGGAGAACCCATAGCAGCTGTGCTCTGGAAAGTTACTGAGCCTCTCCTCAGTTTCATTTGAAATAGCAAAGACTTGTGAGTGAGGGTTTAGTGAAATGATGCTCTTAGTGTAGCAGCACACCAAAAACATTCAAGTACCTGCTAGAGAAATAATAATACCCTGAAACAAATACAAAAACATAAGTACTGTCTCCAGTTTGAAGTTTTAGGACTCAAGACAGGGGTAAAGATCTAGCACTGGTACTCTAACCAGGATTAGTCACTCTCCACAGCTTTTCAGAAGCTTCCTTATGGCATAGCGAATTCTTCTGTAAAGGACCAGTTAGCAAATATTTTAGGCTTTGTGGGCCAGTCATCTTTGTGATTAATAAACTCTTTGTGGAAGAGTGAAAGCAGCCATAGACAATATGCACAAAATTGGTGTAGCTGTGTTTCACCACACAAAACTTTATTTGTGAGCTCTGAAATGTGAATTTTCTGTTATTTTCCTGTGTTGCAATATATTACTCTTAAAAAGTTATTGCCAGCCATTTAAAAAATGTAAAAACTATTCTTAGCTCATTAGTCAGACAAAAATAGGCAGTAGGTTGGATTTGTTCCACAGGCCATAGTTTGCTAACTTTTGATATCAGTCATAAAGATATGTGAAATTAAGAAAATTTATTGCATGTTTGTATACCTGTGACATTCACCTATCAGGTAGGTGCTATTATTACTTCCCCTCTGCTTTTCCTTTAACAAGAAAACAACCTCAGTCTGGGAAAGGTTAACTAATTTGCCAAAATTCAGCCCGTAAGTGATGGAATTAACTTCAAAATGCTGTGCTCTGTAATCGCAGATCCTGAGTTCTTAACTTCCAGCACTGTTGAAATTTTTGGTTGTATTCTTTATTTGTGGGTGAGTTTAGGATAATCACATTTCATGGAGGAAAAGAACAGGGCCTACCTGTGATTTGTCTGTTCAGTAGCTCTGTCCGTTCACATTCTCACAGTGAGTTTGCCTTAACGTTTGAGTATAGTCAGTACTGCACTAAGTAGTATTCCATAGACACATTTTTTTCCCTTTTCTTTTTTTTTATTGTTTTATTATTCATATGTGCATACAAGGCTTGGGTCATTTCTCCCCCATGCCCTCACCCCCTCCATTACCACCCACTCCACTCCCTCCTTCTGCCCCCCACCCTCTCAATAGCCAGCAGAAACTATTTTTCCCTTATCTCTAATTTTGTTGAAGAGAGAATATAAGCAATAATAGGAAGGAACAAGTGTTTTTGCTGGTTGAGATAAGGATAGCTATACAGGGAGTTGACTCACATTAATTTCCTGTGCGTGTGTGTTACCTTCTAGGTTAATTCTTTTTAATCTAACCTTTTCTCTAGTTCCTGGTCCCCTTTTCCTATTGGCCTCAGTTGCTTTTAAGGTATCTGCTTTTAGAATGATGTTCTCCAATTCCATCCATTTACCAGCGAATGAAATAACTTTTCGTTCTTCTTCATGGCTGCGTAGAATTCCATTGGTGTATAGATACCTCCATTTCTAATCCCCATTCGTCAGTGGTGGGGCATCTTGGCTGTTTCCATAAACTTTGGCTATTGTGAATAGTGCCGCATAAACAATGGTTTTTGTCTTTGCTTCTGTTAATGTGGTTTGTTACGTTTTATTGATTTTCGTATGTTGAACCACCCCTTTATTCCTGGGATGAAAGCTATTTTTGTCATGGTGAATGATCTTTTTGATGTTTGTTGAATGTCGGTTTGCCATTTATTTTTGGTTGAGGATTTTTGCATCAGTGTTCATTAAGGAGATTGGCATATAGTTTCTCCTTTTTTGGAGGTGTCTTTGGCTGGTTTTGGGATAAGTGGTATATTGGCGTATAAAAATGGTGTTTGGGCGTTTTCCTTCCCTTTCTATTTTCGTGGAACAGTTTAAGGAGGGTTGGTATCAGTTCTTCTTTAAAGGGTCTGATAGAATTCAGCAGAAAAATCCATCAAGGTCCTGGACTTTTTTCTTTTTGGGGAGATCTTGATTGCTGTTCCAATTTTCATTTTTGTGTTATAGATCTATTCAGGTGATTAATTTCCTCTTGGGTTCAGTTTGGGAATGATCAATATGGTATCTAAAATAATTCCTGTCCATTTCTTTAAGATTTTTTCAAATTTATTTGAATATAGGTTTCTCAAAGTAGTCTCCTGAGATTTCCATGGATTTCCAATGGTGTTTGTTGTTATCTCCCCTTTTGCATTCCTGATTCTACTAATTTGGGTTTTTTCTCTCCTCATTTTAGTCAGGTTTGCCAAAACCTGAAAAAATGAAGCTGGCTTCATTTTGTAAATGTTTTTACTAGTATATTATGGTCATACATAATAGGAAGTTTTATTGTGACATTTCCATATATACATAAACTCGTACCCCAGTTTGGACATCTCCTCCATTATTCTCCCTTTCCCCATGCTCCTTCCTCACCCCCCCCTTTTTTTTTAGAGAAAAAATTGATTTAATTAAACAGAATAAGGTAACTCTAGGCAGTCATCTTTCAGTCTAAAAATGAGCAAAAACTGTTGAAACAAGTCATGATTTTTCCCCAGATTTCTACATTTCCCTTCTTAAAGTGACTTCAACAGGTTTCAGTGGTCCGTATATAGAAAATACCATATATGTTCCACATATAGATAGTACTTCTTCATGTACCCTCCCCCTCCCACTAGTGCCCTCCCTTTCACATAACTTGTTTTACATTCCTGTCCTTCATTGATTGTCTATTCATTGTTCATTGGGGTTTTACCCTGGTATTTTACCTATAAATATATTGTATTTTACTCAATCTAACCCCCCCCATTAGTCTTCCTTACCCTTTTCCCCCCTACCTTGTATTGTTCAGCAGTATTCCGTGTGTTTTGTTGTGTTGTTCCTACACAGATATGATATATTTCAATATTATTAATTTTCTATCATTCTTTTCTTCTTTTCCTCCTCCCTTAGTCTCCTTTAACAGTTCCACTCTTGGAAACATGTTGTGTATATCTATATATAGATATATATGTGTGCATGTATGAATGAAATGTTTGTATTTGTATCTATCTTTAGCATATGAGAGAAAAACATGTCACCATTGTTTTTTTGAACCTGGCTTATTTCACTTAACGTGATGTTCTCCAGTTCCATCCATTTACCTGTGAATAAGAAAATTTCATTCTTCTTTATGGCTGAATAGTATCCACATTTTCTTAATCCATTTATCAGTTGTAGGGCATCTGTACTGTTTCCGTAGCTTGGCTATAAACATGGGTGTGCACTAGTCTTTATTGTACCTTGACTTATTCTTTGACTCATTGTATCTTGACACACACCTTTGGATATATGCCTAGGAGTGGTAATTTCCTCTTTCGTGAGAATTCTCATTATTGTTGTACCTCTTTTCTCTATGAAAATTGAACATACGTATTTACTAAGCTGAATACCTAGAATTATTTATTTCTTTGGAGATGGGAATGGGAAATAGAAGGAAAAGGGGAATGAATGGTGGGAATTTTTAAGTCTTTTCAAAGCTATTTTAAACATGTAGTGTTCTTGGCAGTATCAGGATGTTGACTTTGCTGTGTTCATATTTGTACCTTAGTGTCTACCATGAGCCAGTCTCTTAATTAAATGTTTAAATAGATGATTGGGTCATTACATGAGACTAAGGCATCTCTTTTTTTTCTATGTTAAGGTTACAAGAACAGCATGTCGCCCAATAGCCGCTGGAGACATTTCAACTTTCCAATCCTTTGTTTTTCTTGGGGGACAGCTGACCTTGGCACTGGGTGTCCTTCTGTGTCTGAATTACTACAGGTACATTAAATGTGTTTTTCGTAATTATGTATAAAACCTCACTGAGTTGGAGAATGTAGAAATAAACTGAAATAGAAATATCTTTATCAGAAAACTATTTATTGGCCATTTCTGCAGTGATTGTAAGTTAGCAAGCACAAATGCAGTAACTCACCATGCACTGTCAAATCTACTTCCAGAATGCTTTCAGCCAAACAAGTTCGATCAGCACTAATTTATTCTGAAGTACCTTCAGTATTTTCACTGTGTGTTCCCTAAGGGACACAGGCACTTTCATAGGTTCTTCAAGTGTGCGTACAGTCATATATGTTGTATAATTTTATGTATACTGACAGTTAACTTCGGAAGTGCATGGAAGCAGAAGTGATTATACTCGTTTTGCAAAAAAGAGGAACTGTGTCACTGATGAAAGTGACAAAAGGAGAAGTGGGAGGATTTATTCTCTTAAACAGAGACACAATTAAACTTTCGTATATTAGATGACTGCTTACAAAGTACTTCAAAGAGGGAAAAAAAAGGGTAGGAGGTATCAGCAAATAAGTATTCCTTTAGAGACTAAGCATAATTGCATGCCTGCCTTGATAGCATCAGCAGCAGGAGAACCCCTTTATAACTTTAGAAGGCTATTCTTGAAGCAGGGGTGTTAGATAAACTGTGAGATACCCAAGAATGTCATATTTCCATAGTAGCTTTACTTTTCTTGAGAAGTTACACCCCACTGTGAATGCAAAGAGAGATGTCCTGACTCTAATAAATTCTTTGTTAGATATTTCAGTTTACTGGTCACTTTAAGGTTTGGAAGTAGTTTAGAGAAGCAGTAGTGTATAGTGGCTAATAGACTGCACTGTGAAGCCAGATTATTTTAGGATTGAGGCTTGGGAGCTGGGGATGTAGCTCCATGGTAGAGTACTTGCTTAGTATGCACAAGGCCCTGTGTTTGATCCCCAGCACTAAAGACAATTGGCAGATTATTTAATCTCCTTGTGCTTCCATTTCCTCATCTGCAAAAGAGAATGAGAATAAAAACTACCTGTCTTCTAGGGCCATTGTGAAGATTATAGTAAGTTAACAAATGTAAAGCATTTAGAATGGTGCCTAATAAGTCAGATGTGGGGACACATGCCTCTACTGGAAGATGAACGCAGGAAGATCTCCAGCCTGTGTTACATGGTGAATTCCAAGCCAGTCTGGGCTACATAGTGAGGCCCCGTCTCAAAAAACAAACAAAAGAAAATAGTGCCTAATACATAAAAGTACTGTATGCATTAGCTACTATTTTGTTTGGTTGTTTTGTAACATTTAAAATATTTTTCTCCTTATCATTTATGGTAGGAAAAGTCAGTCTAGGAAGAGCATAGCAAAATACTATTTTAAGATAAAAGTATCTCCTAATTAGTATACTGTAATATCTTAAAGTATTTAGTGAATTTCTAATTACAGTGCCGTTAATCTAGTTTTTTCTGTTTTCAGCATAGCTCTGGGAGCAGCATCCTTACTTCTTGTTGTCACCTATCCACTAATGAAAAGAATTACCTACTGGCCTCAGTTAGCCCTGGGTAAGCTTGAAATACCTAAGTGTTTCTTTCAGTGACTCTCAAAATTCACTTTCACATATTATATGTGTATAGAAAGAGATAAAATGTCAGTCATGAAATTTTTCAAACAAGAATAAATTTTCACATTTTAAAGGAAAGCAATTAGTTATTCTTTTGGCTAAGAAATCTTGTGTATTTATAAAGGTTATCATCATCATTCTTATTTTCTGAAATGCTTTTTAAAAATCTAGGCATGTCATGAAAGGATGGTTGATCTAGGTACCTTAAAGAGTTTGGAACATGGGGTAAGAAGCCCTCTGTGGCAGGAGAACGAAGTTAAAAGTCTGTGTGATCATACAGACAGCTCCTGTTCTGCGAAGCCTTGCATGGGCCTTTCATGAGGACATTAGCCTCCTCTGGCTTCCCTAGCACTCTCACATGGCATTTACTCATTTCAACAAAATTGTATTGACAGCCTCCTATGTCTCCCATTAATAAATTGTAAATGACTGAAAGATAAGACATTCTTTATACATAGCTAGGCATCTAGCATAGCATTTAACACAAGGCAGCTATTAGATATGTTATTTGTTGGCGAAAAGAGGAAAATAGGTAAGTCAAAATGTATTCCAAGGTACTCTATTTCTAGAACATTCTGTGCTGTTCCTAGAGTGATTCTAGTTCTTTAAATCATTTTTCCAATTAAAAAAAAAAGACTTTCTAAGAAATTGATGGAATTGATGAGAGCCTTACTTGTGGGAAAGTTGTGATGAGATACTTATCTTCTTCTAAGATCCTCTTATTAATTACGCTCTTTCTTTTCATTATTAAAAAAAAGTTTACATTTTCAACTACTCTAGGAGTCTTTTGGTAAAAGCATAAGCATTTCCTACATACAACATACTATTCAAAAGCTGGCATATTTACTTCAAGCATTTATTGCATTGCTACTTTTACATTGTGCCAGGAATTGCACCAAGTACATGGAAGATAAAAATAAATTCACCATCTTTAGGAGATGGAGGAGACAGCAGATAAGCAGGTCACTGCAGCACAAGGTGGCATCATGATCATATGGGAATTAAGAAGAGGGTATTCTGAGTGGAAACAGGCAATATGAGAGGAGAAAGAGGATCTTAGAAGAATCTTGGAAGGTATTTGGGACACGTTGGATTTAGGATGCCTGAGGGACTTGAAGTTGGAAAGCTCATTATCTAGTCTGGAACTTAGGGAAGTGCTCAGACTTGGAAATGAAGATTTTAGCAGTTGTTACCACTTAGGTGTTTATTTGTAGTCCTCAGAGAGAATGGGCTTGTAGAAAAGGCAAGTGTTCCTATCTGTACTCTTGTTTCTATAACTTACAGGTGATGTAAGTGGTGATGGAAAGAACATAGATTTTGAGTCAGGTAGGTCTAAGCTGAGTCCCAGCAGCTTACTGGCTGCCAGGCACAGAACGAGGTAACTCCTGCTGACCTTATTAGGGACAGTGTTCTTTCTAATATCTATGTTGAACTCTTTGAATCTGTTCCTTTTTTTGTAAGATGAAGCTAATAACTACCACAAAGGGTTGAAAGAGGATTTAGTGAAAAAACAAAGAGAACAGCATACCCAGAGCCCAGTATGCAACAAGCACATAATACATGCTGACACCCCTCTCCTTTCTTGTGGTGTGCTAAAGTATATTTTGACTTTCCCTTCTTTATGTTTTGCGAATCGTAGGGTTGACTTTTAATTGGGGAACACTGCTTGGATGGTCTGCTATCAAGGGCTCCTGTGATCCATCTGTGTGTCTTCCTCTTTATTTTTCTGGAGTTATGTGGACACTGGTATATGATACTATATATGCCCATCAGGTAAAGAAACTATGTCTTTTTCATAACTTTGCATTAGGTATTGTTTTCTAAGAACTCTACAATAAGAACCAATGGTTCAAGTGGTAGAACGCCTGCCTAGCAAGCACAAGGCCCTGAGTTCAACTGCCAGTACCACCAAAAAAAGAAGGAAGGGAAGGAGGGAAAGGAAAGAAGGAAAGAAAGAGAGAGTACTTTTTGCTAAAAAGAAAGGCAGTTCCATGGCGCCAACAAAATATTTGTTTGTGTATGTTTACCAAAGAGTTCAACTAGTTTTCATTTACATGCACTTAAATAATATTTACTGTATGCCAGGTACTACTTTAAATACTTCGCAAATTCTAAGTTAACCTCCATAGTAGCCTGTGAGGAAGGTACTTATTTGTACTATCCTCATTTTACAGACAAGGAAATGTGTAGAGAAGTAACTTATTTGCATCAGTGGATTGCAGAGCTAAGATTTAAACTCAGAGTCTCTGGATTGTGTACTTTAAGTTTTTGGTACTGGGATTTGAACTCATGGCCTCAAACTTGCTAGGCAGGCGCTCTGCCACTAGAGCCACTCTGCCAGCCCTTTTTTATGTTGGGTATTTTTGAGATAGGGTCTTGCTAACTATTTGCCCAGGCTGGCCTTGAATGGCGAGCCTCCTGATCTCAGCCTGTCAAGTAGCTAGGATTACAGGTGTGAGCCACCAGTGCCCAGCTCATGACACATTCTTTAAGTGAAGAATGCCTAACCAGGCCCCCATGGGCCGCTGGGAGCCACTTCGTTGGTGCTCCTGGCTAGGTGGTGGAGAGCTGGCCAGGCTAAAGAGTGTGGGCTGGGCCGCAGATGACATGTGGCCCATGCTTTGGACTGTAGTGTGAGCCTATGCCCCCTGTATCATGTTTCCTGTGGCTTTCATGGCTGTGGGTCACCACCTGGAATGGTTCATCAGGAGAAAGGCCTCCAGGCTGTGGAGAGAAGAGCATCTCACAGTATTGGGAAGATCACAAGGTGCATGAGCTGCTAGGCAAGGACCACACTTAGGTGGTAAGCCTTAATGACAAGCTGGAATTTGTGCCTAAAGCTATCCTGAACAGAAACCGCCCACAGAAGAATTAATTGAGGACACAGGCCCTGTGGTCCACAGAGCTGTGACTGGTCAGGCACCATGGCATCCCAGCCCCAGAACATACATCTGATTTGCTTTGCTCTTATTCTGGCCCTTCCTGCACCACAAAGCCATACATGTTCTGGCTGCTCCTTCATGGCCAGGCCAAAAGCAGCAGCTGACGGCCAACAGAGGAAGACTGCTTCTGTCGCAGAGGGCTACCAAGTGCTCACGCTTCGAGCTTGTGTGGGTGCACTGCCAGGAGGAGTGTTATGAAATGAACATTACCCTCAGTCTCCCTGGGGAGGCACTGCAGCCTCGAGTGGGAGTGGCTAGATCTGGGTGTTTCCTTTAGGAGGAACTAACTACAAGTCTAGTTAGTTTCCACTGGGAAGAATTCAAACATCACCCTGGCTCCCTTGACTAGTTTGCCCTTTCCTTGGTCTTCGTTCTTCCTGAAATCCTGTTTTCAGCCCAGGAGTAGGATTCCCTGAGAACAAAGTATTTTTCTGTTGTCAGAAGCTCCAGCTATTCACCTTGGGACAGGAGGAACGATGCCTGGTGAATTTACCTGAAAACAGTTACCATCTTCCACCCCTCAGCACTATGTAGTGAAAAGCATGATTAAAGTGGGTCTGAAAAAAAAATCATAATCATAGTTTAGAAAAATAATGATAATTTTTTAAAAAGATCATAAACAACCAGAGCAAAATAGACTGGAGGTGTGGCTCAAAGTGAGGATAGGCAAGACACCTAAAAAATTAGCTAGCATTTGTTGCCCTCAACGCAGAGAAACTAAAGCAGATACCTTAAAAGCAACTGAGGCCAATAGGAAAAGGGGAACAGGTACTAGAGAAAAGGTTAGTTCAAGAAGAATTAACCTAGAAGGTAACACCCACGCACAGGAAATCAATGTGAGTCAATGCCCTGTATAGCTATCCTTATCTCAACCAGCAGAAACCCTTGTTCCTTCCTATTATTGCTTATACTCTCTCTACAACAAAATTAGAAATAAGGGCAAAATAGTTTCTGCTGGGTATTGAGGGAGGGGGCGGAGTGGGTGGTAAGGGAGGGGATGGGGGCAGGGGGGAGAAATGAACCAAGCCTTGTATACACATATGAATAATAAAGGAAAAAGGAAAAAAAAAGAAGTACAGCACCTGCTTTGTGAGGGCCAAGCCCTGAATTGAAACCCCAGTCCCACTAAAAAAAAAGAATGCATCATGAAGCTGGGCATGGTGGCATACACTTTAATCCCAGCACTTGGGAGGCTGAGAGAGGCAGGAAGATTACGAGTTCAACACCAACCTGGGAGAGACCCTGTTTCAAAAAAATAAAAGTGTCTTGAGACCCTGTCTCAAAAACAAAATACAAACAAAAAAGATGGTGGAAGGGGGAGTGTGACTCAAGATGTAGAGTGCTTACCTAGCATGCAAAATGCCTTGGTTTCAATTCCTAGAGCTGCAAATAAATAAAAAGACCTATCTCTGATTACAGGGAAAGGGCTTGATGAGAGAGGAAAGGAATAAACAGGCCAAAAGTAGGAAGTAGATAAATGGGGTTATGTGCTGAGCATTTTTATACATCTCTGATTGAACCTAAAATGTACAAGAAATTACTGATTTGAAAACTCTGAGATAGAAAGGAGCTATGTAAAGAATTAAGAGTTGAGGTTTGGTTTTGTTTTGTTTTGTCTTTGCAGTACTGGGGCTTGAACTCAGGGCCTTCACAATGAGCCACTCCACCAGCCCTATTTTTGTGAAGTTTTTTTTCCGAGATAGAGTCCCATGAATTATTTACCTGGGCTGGCTTTGAACTGTAATCCTCCTGATCTCTGCCTCCTGAGTAGCTCAGTTTACAGGCATGAGCCACTGGTGCCTGGCTAAGAGTTGAGTTTTGATCCTAATACAGTAGAAGTGTAATAAAATTAAATAAAAAGAATGGTATGTGGGGATTTGCCTATACATTCACTACTGGTCAGTTTATTTCTGAGTCACCATTACCTTTCACAGATTGTAATAACAGTTCATACTTTTTAAATACATTTTCTTCTGTAATTATGATTATGTTAAAAACTGCTCAGTTGTATATTTTAAAAATAGGAATTTTGTGATATTCTGATTAAATACCAAAATAGTTTATTATTGCTTTCTGATACTAGGACAAAAAAGACGATGCTGTGATTGGTCTCAAGTCCACAGCACTGCTCTTCAGAGAAAAAACGAAGCAGTGGCTCAGTGGCTTCAGTGTCGCCATGCTGGGGGCCCTGAGCCTGGTAGGAGTGAACACTGGTCAGACTGCTCCCTACTACACTGCTCTAGGTGCTGTAGGAGCCCATCTGGCTTACCAGGTTTGACCTTTTCTTACTTTCCTCACTTTTCCTCAGTATAAATTATAAAAATTGTTAAACAATAGAGAAGAAGCTTCTTGAAACAACTTCTTGGCTTGTACTGATTGAGTTGCACCCTCTCTGCCCCAACTTGTCATATAAAAAAGTTGGCTGTATTATTTTAGAGAAAATAATATAATCCTAATCTCAGATTTTCCCTGTTCATTCAGCAATGTCTGAAGCTTATGGGTTGATTTGAATTAGTATTCAATTCCAAAAGCAAACTGAAAAATAAACTTTATTATTTTAAATCTAGGTTTCTAGTGATGGTTAGCAAACTTATCATTCAGAAGTTTGGTTTCCACTGGCCTAGAGACCAATGCCAGAGAAGACATGAAATGCCAAAATTCCTGAGGTTTCACCTAGAAAACAAGACATTGTCATTTTAGGATATTCACCCAGCATCACATCCCCTTCCCACTAAGCTTATATTGAGAGTCTGTGGTATTGACTTATAAAGTGAATGAACAGTTATTGCTGTTACTTTCATTCAATAGAATTGAAAAGATGTTGGTGAACTATATTTAGATAATCTATTTTACTGGATTATTGCAAATTACTTGTAAGTATAGGCAAAACTTGTGTAATATGGTATGAAAGAAACATAAAATCTGATTACTGTGTCCCCTCTCTTGTTTCCCTCACTATGAAAGCTAAGTGATATGAGTTGGTGATTCTACAGGAGTTCATCATTTTCTTCTTTGGAGTTTTTCAGCATCCCTTTCTGGCTAGAACTCAGCTCCACGAGGGCTGTCATCATGAATTGATTGGTCTCTGGATAGTGAATGTACATTAATGTTAAGCACCTGAATGTTAGATGACAGAGAAAAGCAAAAATTATGAGAATAATCACAAATACTATGAGAAATATGTGGAACCCATTACGTATTTTAAATTGCATTTGTGATCCTCTGTCCAGTCCTTAATGCAGTGTTTTAAGATGGGCCTAGCATTCTAATATTTGAAGACAAAGGTGGTCATGATTTTGAGTCTGCAGACCACATAATAAAGAAAAGCTAGTTAAAGCCAGGCATGGTTACACTTGTAATCCCAGGTATTCAGGAGGCAGATATCAGAGGATTGTGGGCTAAGGCCAGCCTATGCAAAACGTTAGTAAGACCCTATCTGAACAAAACAAGCTGGGCATGGTAGGGAATGCCTGTCATCACAGCTATGTGGGAGGTTATAGGTAGGTGGATCATAGTCCAAGCCTGACCCCAGGCCAAAGGCAAGACACCATCTGAAAATTAACCTAAAGCAAAAAGCACTGGAGGTGTGGCTCACGTGGTAGAGCACAAGTGCAAGGCTTGATCTGAAAGTCCAGTACTGCCAGCAAGCTAGTTCATTCTACATCTGATGGCAAATGCCTGTAATCCCAGCACTCAGGAGACTGAGGCAAGGAGATCTGGACTTGGAGACCAGCCTGGTCTACATTGCAAGACCCTGAATAGGTAGGTGGATTGAGAGATTGAGATTTAGATAGAGTTAGTTCCCAGGCTTCCACAGGCTAGCTACATGAGACTTTCTTGGTATATTTGCAGGGCCAGGGAACAAGGAATATGTATGTTCTAGGTAACTAGCCAAAAATCTGGGTCGCTAGGTTCCCTTGTGAGGATGGGAGAGAGCTTAGAAATTTATGGGTGGTGTGTCTTTGGTAGTCATAATAACCCACTTAGTGAGTGGGAGCCAGAAATATTGAATATGTTTCAGTGACAGGCAGCCCTACACAATTAGTGTGCTGCCCAGACATGACTTGTTCTCAGTTATGAGACTGGTCCAGAATGTAAAGCGAGAACCAGGTATGAACTGCAGGGAAGCTGACTTCAGATAGTCTGTAAAGAAGAGCTTTCCAGGTACAGGTTAAGAATCCCTTGTTGGAAATGCTAGGGACTAGAAAGCTTTTGGATTTTGGATTTTTTATTTTTTGAGTTTTGGAATATTTGCATGTACATAATGATGTATCTTGGGGACGGAAGCTAAGTCTAAACACAAAACTTATTTATGTTTCATATATTTCTTACTCCAATAGCCTGAGGGTAATTTTATACAATATTGTTAGCGCACCTGCAGTTTGACTGTAATTTGTCACAGGATTGGATTTTTCCACTTTTGGTCAGCTCTTATCTCAGTTTTGGATGTTGGAACATCTCAGAGCTTTGAGTTAGGGATGATCAACATCTAGTCAGAGATAAGAGTAGCCAGGTTGCCTCTCAGATCATTCACACAGCTCTCAGCCAGAAATTTTTTGTTGTTTATTAGCATACATTAATTGTACAGAGATTTCATTGTGATATTTCTATAGCTACACACAATGTACTTTAATCAAATTCACTCCCTCTATTATACTCCTTTAGTCCTCCTTCCTTCTCTTCCCTTTTTCAAACAGTATTTAGTGGGTTTCATTATGCTATCTTAATGTATACATACATGTAATGCACTCTTACCGTGTTTATTCTGTAGTACCCTCTCCTTTTCCCCTTCCCCTCCTGCTGAGCTCTCCCCAAGAGAATTCGTCCTTTATACTCAAGCTCCATTGTTACTGTTGCTATTGCCATTTTATGTCTAGACTCTGCATATGAGCAAAGCATGTGATATTTGACTTTTTGAACTTATCAGCCAGAAGTTTGGTTTCCAGTTTCATGAGCTTTCCAGTGAAAGAAAGAGGATATAGTTTCATGTATAAGAAGGACTTCTCAATACTTGAAATTCCATAACTAAATACTGTTTCCTCCTCTGTGCTGATCTGTTTATCTGTGATGCCCCACAGTCTAGACGAGGTACTAATGTAGCCTTCTGTTCTTCTCTTACAGATTTACACAGTGGACATTCACAGACCAGACGATTGTTGGTATAAATTTACCTCTAACCGAACAGTAGGAATAATCATTTTTTTAGGGATTGTCTTTGGAAATTTGTGGAAAGAAAAGAGGACAGATGAAACAAACATACAAAAAAAGGTAGTAGAATAGAACATTTGCAAATAAGCTAGATGTGCTGGTGCGTGCCTGTAATCCCAGCACTCAGGAATCAGAAGTGGAAGCAGGAGAATCTAGTTCAAGGCCAACCTGAGCTCCTGTCTGAAAAAAACCAAGGGCTGGGAATGTAGCTCAGTGATAGAGCACTTGCCTAGCATGAACAAGGCCCTGTGTTTAATCCTTAGAGCAACAACAACAACAAAAGAAAATTAGCAAATAACGTTTATCCAAGAATTATGAAAACAAATGTTTACACATTATTAGGTTTGAATGAGCAGTCTGTTAAAATATGGTAAAGCAGGAAACAAATGAGATTTAGAGCTCTTTGCCTGGATCTTACTTCAACTGTTTTCTAGCAGAATTCTTCCCTTGTCATAGTAGGGATCTTGAGGATCTGAGATGACTTGAGTGTTCAAGTTGGTGCTTTCTTTTGCCTATTACAGTTCTCATCTGAAGTTATGGATTTTAGCACTTTAGAAAAAACCTGATATGTATCTCATCTAAATGAATGTCTCTATAGGAAAATGGACTTTTTTTTTAAATGGGAAAAATGCTCCTGTGGAAAGTTGGGGCATATTTTTCTTTATTGCAACCTTTACCCTTTGTCAAAAGCTATAATTTAGGAAGCCATTCTGGTTTTTATGTTTTAGAAAAATTTAAATAACCAAATAAATTTACCTATTATGCCCATATGTACCACTGTTATTACCAACTGTGATATTTATTTGAGAGATCTGCAATCTGTGCAGCCACAGTGACCAAATAGGCAAGCAGGCATCACCAGGGACAGTTTTAATTTCCTTTTTTCAACTTATCCTTTTTTCTTGCCCCTGCCCCATTATGTTTCCAACACAGCAGCCAGTCATTTTCTTTCAACCTAAATAAGGTAATGTTCCTTTGCCCAGAACCCTGCAGAATCTCCCCAGTTCACTCAGCACAACTCAAAGCACACACCTGTTGGGTCCATGAGCTGGCTTCATCTCTCCTCTTCATACACCTGCTCCAGCCATGCTGCCTACCTCACTGTCTCAGTCAGACTGGGCAGACTTCTACCCCAGGACCTTAGCATGTGCTGTTCACTTTCCCTAGAGTGAAAATTACATCTTACTCCTTTACTGCAGGTCTTTTCTTAAATGTCACCTCTCAAAGAGGCTTTTCTTATCACTGTGTCAAAAACTCCACAAATGTCACCCATACTTCCTATCTCTGCTCTTTATTGTTTTACCCTTTGGTATTTATCGTTATTAACCTAGAATATATTTTACTAGATTTGATGTGATTCTCACAGACAATGAAATGATTTTTATGTATAGGTTGTGGGCATCAGTAAATATTAACTTGTGTAATAATGATGACTACAATAGTAATGCAGCTGACACAGAGCACTTACATATGCCTTGCACTGATAAATAAGCACTGGAAAAATTACTTAACTCTTTACTCACCAGACACTGAGCCACTGCAAGTGTGTAGACTTCGGGCAGTAGTAGCAGCTGTGACCATGGTGAGACTGAAAGTTAGGAGACAGAAAATGGTCAGGCAGAACAGGCACAGGGGAACTCAGTGGAAACTTACCAAGGACATAAAGACGAGGCAAACAGTGTGGAGAGTCTGGGAAGTTTTAAAACCATTCTCCCAGGCCTTGAAACTACTGAGGTGTACGAACGGTACATGAGTAATGCCCTGATAGGCTGTTTGGCTGATATGCCAGATCTCAGGGTCATTGGGAATGCACAGTGTCCCCATGAAACACATTGGCTGGTAATGACATACATCCCCTAAATGGACCAATAGCAGAGACACAACCAGCTTCCCTTCAACCAGGAAATAAAATCCTTGTAAAAACTCCTAGACAAAGAGTGTCAAGGGCTCAGCCTTTCTGAGACTCTTCCCATTGTATGTGGGGACTTTTTTTCTCTTTTCCTCTCTACTTAATAAAGCTGCTTTTTTGCTCACCCTGTTGTCTGTGACTTTCGTTCTTTGATGACACTAGACAAAAAGTCCCCAGCACCTAGCACAACACACCTGAGACCAAACCATTGCGACAACAAATTAAAGAAGAAACAGCAAGTTGTTCCCTGCAATTTTATCTAATTCTGATGCATATCAGGATAAAGAAGTTGAATCTATGTTGATTTTTATTTTCTTAAAAATAACACACAGCTTTGCACAGTGGCAGTATGGTATCCAGTGAGGTTTATCTGAGGTGCAATTATTACTAATTGAAAATTTTTCCCAATATCCAGCTCTGACGACTTGAAATATAATCAGCATTGGAAATATTTGACAGTCTCTACAGAGACAGAAAAAAATATCATATTGTATTTTAAAACACTTAGCCATCTTAATCCATTAGCACTGGTAAAGTTTAAAAGGAAGCAAATCTGGGAATCAGTAAAAATCTTACAGCCATTTGTGGTAAATAGGGCCTGGAGAATAGAAAGTTAATTAATGCATTCTCTTACTTTCAAAAAGCTGTCTCAATTTTACGGAATTGTTTTAGTTCTTTTTCATTTCCTTGCCTTCTCCTGGTAGAAAGGCTGAAAGTGGGTAAGGAGGTGATAAGAGAAAATGGTGAAGTAAGTCATTAGCTTGTGGAGTCAAGGACTCAAAATGGTTTCGGGTGGAAAGTTCAGCAGCCATCCACCGATAGCACCAGCTGCCTGCCCCAGGAAACATGGGAGGGTACTGCCAGGAATGTGTAAGAGTAGAAGTTACCAGTCCTGTTCTGGGAAGTCTGTTCAGTAGCAGGCCCTTGCTCTAGTCAGCTTCAGAGCCTGTCAGGTGGACAGAGAAATGTATAAAAGAACATTGTAAACTGGACAGTTATCTGGCATCATTTTATGGTGGAGGTGGGATGGGAGCTACAAGGTCTAAAAACTATACAAGGGCTGGCCCTCCCCCTTCCTGGATTTCTTTGCTAAATTGCTCAATGCTACTACAGATCGTAAAGAGCTTCACAATCAGGCCACACCTTATTTCCCAATTTAACCTATCCCCTGCACCCTCTGTGCCAGTCTCTTCACAGGTCAAACTCATTCCCCCTCTCATCACAACTGTCCTGCCAGTGGGTAGGATGACAGGGGTCCAGCGTCTGGGGCAAGCAGGCCTGCTGTGAATCCTCCCTTTGACGCTCTAGCTAGAAACCTGCAGGTGCCAAGTTCTCATCTGGCAAACTGAGCTGTCAACATTTAAATGAGTTGGCTTATGTCCAAGCCTGTTGTGGGTTGAATTTTGTCCCCCTCTGCCCTGCCAAATTCATAGATTGAAGTCCTAACATTCAGTGTTTCAGAATGTGACTGCATTTACAGATAAGGCCCTTAAAGAAGTGATTAAGTTAAATTGAGATCTTTAGGGTGAGCCCTTAAACCAACATGACTAGTGTCCTGATAAGAGGAAATAGGAGAGACTTTGGACAAGTGTATGAGCTGGGTGTGGTGGTACACGTCTGTAATCCCAGCACTTGGAAGGCTGAGGCAGGAGAATCACGAATTCCAGGGCAGCCTGGGGTACATAGCAAGACCCTATGTCAAAAAAAAGTGTATGTGTGAAGACAACCATTTAACACAGCAAGAAGGTGAATCTGAAGAAACTAAGTCAGCCAACACCTTGATCTCAGACTTCAGTGCCCGGAACTGTGAGAAAATAAATTGTTTTAAGTCAGTCAGTCAATTACATTTTGTTAGAGCAGTCCTGAGAAACTAGCACTAGTTCCCAGTTCCTAGTATTAAACCTGGCAAGGGAAATGTACTCTACAAATGGGGTTCACCAAAAAACTCTCCCTATTCCATTTCAATTCTACATTTTTGTTCCAAAATACAAGTTAGAATGTTGCCAATATGACTTTTAGTTAAGGATCTTGAGATAGGGAAATTGTCTTAGTTTATCTAGGGGTGCAACATAATCACAAGCATGGGCAAGGTCAAAGGCAGTAGTAAGAGATGTAAGCAACCCAGGCACCGGTGGCTTATACCTGTAATCCTAACTACTCAGGAGGATAGCGGTTCGAAGCCAGCCCAGGCAAATGGTTAAGAGACTGTATCTTGAAAATATGTAACACAAAAAGAGTTGGTGGAATGGCTCAAGGTGTGGGCCCTGAGTTCAAGCCCCTGTACCGCAAAAAAAAAAAAAAGCAAGTGATTAGGCTGATGGGAGGAAGGAATCCTGAGCCAAGGAAAGCAGGTAGCCTTTGGAAGCTGAAAAAGATAAGGAAAAAGGCTTACGCCTTTGCAGACAGAAGGAACCAGCCTGGTGACACCTGGGCTTTAGCCTGGTAAAGTCAATTGGACTTCTGATCTCCAGGTAAGATAATAATTTGTGCTATTTTAAGCCAATAGACACTAATAACTGTTCAGCGCTCATGAAGCTATCTTCTGTGTTCCCGGAGCACTTTGGCTGGTACCAGGGGACAACTGCTGAGAACTGAAGTCCTGCCCACAGTTGCCCGGGTGGGAAACTTGCTTTACCACTACCAGTGGATTCCCTGATCTCTCTGGAGCAGATGCTTAAGTTGGTGATAATTAATAACTTATTGTGGGGTTTAAAATTTTCCATCTACCCTGTTAGAATGGAAATTTCATGCTAACCGGGACCTTGTCCCCGGTACTCCATGCTGTAAGCACTTGAGTATTTATAATTTATTGTCATTGTGTGAGCTGACATTTGAGCTTTGGGGTGCAGCTATTAAAAATTGTTAATCTCAGCCAGGCCTGGTAACTCACATCTGTGATCCCCAGATACTTGGAAGGCAGAGATTGGAAGGGTCAAAGTTCAAGGCCAACCTGGACAAAAAGAGACCCCATCTCAACCAATAAAAAGCTGGATGTTATGTTGTGCGCCTGTCATACCATGCTCTCAGGAGGCATAAGTAGAATCACAGTCCAAACCCGCCTTGGCAAAAATGTGAGCTCCAATTAGAAAACTAAAGCAAAAAGGACTGGGAGAGTGACTCAAGTGGCATAGCACCTGCTGAGCAAGCACCAGGCCGAGTTCAAACTCCAGTACTGCCAAAACATTATTGAATTATTAATATCACCCAGCATGGTATGCCTCTACCACTTGAGAGGCAAGAATGAGAGGATCATGAGTTTGAGGCCAGCCTGGGCCACATAGG